TGGGGATGATGGGGATGATGGTGACGTTGATGGGGATGGGGATGATGATGATGGTGATGATGATATGGTGGTGGTGATGATGGTGATAATGGTGATGACGATGGGGATGATGATGATGGCGGTGATGAGGTTGATGATTGCAGTCCTTGAGAATTCACACCCATATGCCCACTCTTGTATAGCTCCAGAGTTTCCGTTTTTCAAAGAGGTGAGAGAAATCCCCAGCAGAAAAATTAAGCCTAAGTGTTCTCAGATTAATTTTACCTCCATGGAACCTAGTAGGGGCTAACATAAATAATCTCAGGACAAAAGCAGTCCCAATTTAGACTCCTCAGGGTTCTCCCAGATTAAATTCAACCAAAGACAAGCTCTCACAAACACAAAACATGCAAGCAAGGAAGTCACCATGAGTAACTATCTGTAGAAACCACCATTCAGATTTGGATCTCCCTAGGACTTTAGACAATGAAATTATCGAATATAGGTATTTTTATTTATTTATTTTAACATTTATTCATTTTTGAGAGAGAGAGTGCAATTTGCAGGGGGAGGGGGGGAGGGTAGAGAGAGACAGAAACACAGAATCCGAAGCAGGCTCCAGGCTCCGAGCTGTCAGCACAGGGCCCGACTTGGGGCTCAAACCCGTGAACCGCAAGATCATGAGCCAAGCCAAAGTCGGCCACTTAACCAACTGAGCCACCCAGGCGCCCCCCGAGTACCGGTATTTTCAAAAGTGTTGTTGGTCTTTTGCTTCCAGCCTTGATGGAGTAACGAGTATTGGACTATCTCTCCTGCTTTTAAACAACAGAAAGCTGGACAAAATAAACAGGACAACTATTTTCAGGTGCTGGACGACAGACAGTGCAGGACTGTGGTCTCTGAGAGAAGGGGGGCAAGGTGAACTGTATGCTCACCCAGCGCTTCTTCCGGAAGGCATCACTATGCTTGGCAGAAAGGAGGACCCCAGGCAGAATACGCTAATGTCACTGAGCCGAGGCAGAGCCCAGAGCCCGAGAAGTCGGAGGCATCAGTAATTTATAAATCAGATTGACCATGTGACCCATCAAGTCCCCTCCTCGTGGTATGCCCAAGAGAATTAAAAACGTATGTCCACACAAAAATTTGTGCACGAATGTCCAGGGCAGTCAGTGTTCGCCAATGACAGGGTGATGGGGATGATCACAAAAGTCCATGAGACAACTTTTTTGGAGCGGAGGAATGTACAGAAAAAAGAAACAAGGCTCTATTCCCCACCCCCATCAAATAAGCGAAGGAAGAAGCCCTAACACACCTGCTACCAGATTCCTGTGGAATGAACTTGGTGGCTGTCTGCAGTGCCCATGACCACCAGCAGGTGGCACTCTGTCTTGCACGCATCTGCCCTTTGCAGGGCCATCTTGTCTCCATGTATGCCTCCGATCTCTCTAGGCAGATAGACGAGGCTGGTGGGGAGGCTGTGAGTATAATCCCCTGTGACAGTCACCTTGGAGTGACGCTGCAGAGAGGAGACGACCGGTCCCCATGCTTCTTGCCTGGTCACGGGCCAGAGCACGGCGGCTGAAATATGGCGAGAGGACTTTTGAGTACATTTTCCATAAGAGGCGTCTTCTTGACCTGTGATGTGTCCACATGGTGTTAAAACAATGACAAGAAGGGGCTGGGAGAAGCTGAGAGAGGGCAAGACCCTGGGCCCCGTGGACCCAGACGGCCTTCCTCTGTGCTTACCCCCCACTCGGCAAAGGCCCAGGTGGTACCCTACAGCCTTGTCCGATCACCCCCGGGCTCATGCTGCCCTGTCTTGGAACCTAGCCACCCGTCTGCCAAGCCCTGGCGAAGTCCGTTTTGCCTATCCTGTGCCTGGTAGGTCTGCTT